TTTTTTTTTTTTTTTTTTTTTTTTTTTTTTTTGTGGGTCTTGATATTTACAGGTCGTCTTTTCTATGAAATCAAAACTTACAGTTTACCCAATAATCCATCGGTAGCAACAGCAGCAGCAGAAACAGTAGTCCAGCTCAGATAACACTTCAGATAATTGTCAAGTAATCTTTAACACCATGTATCACTTTAACAGTTTCTGAGTTCAGTTCAATGTTTAGCATCTGAACAAAAAATACATATGTATTTTACGAAAGTTTATTGCAGTTTATCAGGAAAAAAAAAGAAAAATGCCTTTTCAGTTGCTCGGTAGCCAGTTTTTTGCTTTAACTGTACATTCTATTGTTTCTTTATCTATTTCTTTATATTTTTTTGTAACCATTATCAACACTAATTTATTGAAAATAGAAGACAGAAAGAGAGAAATAAGGGAAAAAATAAGAAGAAAACAAATAAAACTGAATCGCAGTCACAGTTGCGAAAAGAGCTGCTGAAATAAAAGTTTAATTGATAGGAAAAACACACACACACAAAAAAAGGAACAGAACATTGTAAAAAAATAAATAAACAAACAAAAATTGTTATATTTTTTTTTTGGCCTAATGTCTAAACTTTGAACTAAGCTTAATCGGTGAACCATTAGGAAGATTAATGTTTTTCTCTCCCAGCTCCTCCTTTCCCATCATCACCATCATCATCTTCATCTTCATCATCATCATCACCATAGTCATCATCGCCGTCATCATCATCATCATCATCATCAACATCCTCATCACTCCCAACGTTGCCACCATTATGAAAATCCCCATCACTGTTGATGGTTTGTTGGCAACAAATAAAAAAACGTCCTTTTCTATTTAGGCTATTTTTTAAAAAATATTCTGCTTAGTTGTGGCTTGTAAAAAAAAGTTCGAAATTGAAACGAAGCTATTCTAAGAACAATGGTGATCTTTTGAAAATGAGAAATGATACTGTATCGATGATGAAATGTGATCGTTGATGAAAACTGAAAATAGTGCAGCCGGTGATGAAAGTTTTTAGACTGTATGTTTCAATGTTGGTGATGTTCGCTGTTCCGTCTTTTCCCTTCATCGTCTTCTTTTTCCTCTTCTTCATCTTTTATCTTCTTCTTTCTCTTCTTGTTTTTTCTCAATACTGTTATTATCATCCACATCATAATCACCACCATTTTCTTCTTCATATGCTGCTGCTGCTACTGCATCATTTTTTTCTTCTCTGCTCGGTTGTTTCCAAACTTTCTTTTTGCTTTATTCTCATACGTTATCGTCATGTTTTTCCAGCCTCAATCGGTGGTCATAAAGACACAGAAGTTTGCTACTCTGCTGAGGAGGCTAATGTTAGCCCTAGTAAAAGTTTCAGTCATGCTTGCTCTTCCTTCCTGTCTTCTTGCGATTTAGGGTTTTTTCTTTGAAAGAAAGAGGGGAATACATGGGGGAAAAGGGGAGGATTCTCAAATAGGAAAAAAAAATTATTTTTCATTTACTTCTTTTGTCTTTACCTTTTGCAAAAAATTTTGAAAAGGAGCGGAACAGAGTGAAAGGATAAACAAAAGAAAGATTGTTGAATTAGTTATTAACTTTTTTTTGGGCCTCTTTCGCTATCATAATTTGGAGTATTGTTGCGTTTTTTTGTAATCCAAATAATGGACATTTGTTTCTGGGTAAGATTTTCCAAAAAAAAAGTTTTTTTTTTTTGCTTTTTCTTCTGTTCTCTCTCGTTTGGTTATGGCTTTGCTGTGGTTCGGTGAGTATAATGGCCACTAAATTTAATTCTTTTGAAGATCATGTCAAGTCTGTGTTTGTTCAAATGATTATTTATTTACCATCTTTTTTTTGGTATGCTTAATGAATAAGTTTTTTTTTGTTTTTTTTTCAACTTCTCGCCTTTTTTGCCTGCTTGCTAGCTTACTGCTATACTTTGTTCCCTATCTAGTGTTTTTTATTTATGCAATTTCTTACAAACCTGATAAAATGCATAGTAATCAGATGGACAATTATGGTAAATGCAGCGTATCAAGTGGCCACTTCCGTCACTTGGAGTGGCACGCATCGTGGACTATAGCTATCTACTTTTTTTTTTTGGTGAAATAATATTAATTGTTTGAGCTTCTCAATTTCGTCTTTAAGCTTTTTTACCAACCATAATTGTCGCTGATGGGATGGAAGAAAAGTTTTATGCTGTCTTGTTTATTTTTTTAGTTTTTATTGATGTTTAGACAAAAACTACATACCAGTGCAGCAACAAAGATCAGTAAATGGATGTAAGAGATTTGAGAGAGCTAATGGTGATTATGACTTGATATCAGTTTCTAAGAGATGGAACAAAACTAGTTTTGGACGATTACGGAAATGAAACTGGAATAATTGGGAAAGTGTGGGCAGCAGTTTGTATCAGTAGTTTAAGCTATAAAGAAGAATCTTTCCATATTTTTTGCTGTTACTGTTACTAATTTTGGTGTCGTCGTTGTTGTTACTGTTGCTTCTGTTTCTGCTATTTTTTTGCTGACGCGGTATTTGGCAGTAATTCTGCTGTTAACATTTAATTAAGAAGCTAATTTTGTTATTCTAATAATAAGCAAGGTTTTTTCTGTACGTTAAAATAACCTATTGAAACTGAAAGATGTCTGCGGCGAAATGGATGTTATTAATGACCATTGTTCAGTTAAACACAAGTAATTTTGGTAACCTTGGCAAAATTTGCTTGATTCTATTTTTAATCAATCAGTAGCAGCTATCTTTCAAAATAGACTCGACATTAGCTGAACTCTGTTCAATTACGAACTTAAGCTAACAATGGCTTCTTGTCTTAGCAATCTTCTCAAGGTATTTAAAAATTAAGCTCTTATTATCTGTTTCGATCTAAGAAAGAAGTTTCATTTCCGCTTGCATACATTAAATTTAGCACACTAAATCTGCTGCTGATTGCATTATTGCCTCTCACAAAATGCTGAAAATTTTTTAAGATTCTTGATGAAAAAGTTCTTCAGCAGGAATAACCAATTTTCTTTACACGTCTCTGTCTGTGTTGTGCTGTATGATGTTTTGAAAAAATAAGTATCTTGACACTAGCTGTTAAATGGTTTTACTTTCAAGTTGGAGCATCGCAGGAAGAACAGCAAAACAATAAAAAAATAAGAACAAAGAAAAGTCTATTGAGGAACGAGAAAAAAGGGCAGGAATAGAATTTCAATAAAAAATTGTATTTTCTTTTATTTCAGAAAACAATAATCAAATGTTTAGAAGTGTTGTTGAAGTTACTTATGCTTAATCAACTAGGAAATTGATCTGCACGCAGAACATACCCAAAAAAACTTGCTTTTTTAAAGTATACTATTAAAAAAAAAACAAGTAATAAAAAAGATAAAGTAAGACTAAAAAGACAAGAAAAAGACAAAAAAAACTTTTTTTTGTCAACAAATACGAAAAAAGTGAGAAGAAAAGTAACTAAGTTGGAAAGTGGAAAGTGAAAATGAATAGTGCGGCTGCTATTGCTGCTTATAAATTCAAAATTTAAATCATTTAAAGAATAAGTTTTCAGCATTAAAGATTTACGCTGAACTTTTGATTAACCAAACCAGTTAACAAATGACTCTCTAATTTGCAGTTAGTTTTCTAATTTTCCTCTTCTTCCTTTCTCCTTCCCTTCCTTTTTCAGTCTTCCAACTTTTTTTTTTTGTCTTAATTTTCTCCTTCTACATGACAATCAAAAAACTGTTTGTTCTGTTCAATGTTTGGGGATAGTGGTCGTCGCTTAGATCATTGGGCAACTCTATGCATACCCTATTTTCTAGCTAGCCAGCCAGCCAGTCAACAAGCAATATGGCTAGATGAAAGCATTATCACTGTTCCCTCCTTCGCTATCTCCTTCCTCTGTCATCCACCTCCTACTCCAGCTTCCTTTCGCCGCCTGCAGCATTTCACTTGTCATCTCCTATTGACAATGGTCAACACAATTCATATCTTCATTCACACAAATACGAAAAAAAGAAAAGAGTGTATGGAGGTCTTCTAAGTTTTTGAATATCTAAAAAAAAGTTCTCCTATTTTAATTTTGTTTTCTAGTTTTTTCATCTTTTTATAAATTTTTTCTTCTATTGTGAATTTAATTTCACACTTGACATTTGCCTATTTTTTTCCTTTATTGTTTTGTTGATGTTAAATAAAATGTTAAAAGAAAGTAGTTAAACAAAAGACACAAACAGAACAAAAAAAATTTTCATGATTAGCTGTTGTTGTTTTGTACATGGGAATATTACCAAAATTACTAATCAGGTTTTTATAAAGCTAAGAGAGGTTTCCTTTTTTTTCTAGCTGATTTTACTGCTGCTACTGCTTCACCTTTTAATGCTAAAAACGCTTTTGCAGTATTAACTGGATATCGCTAAATTAGTTGTGGGAATCCCAGCGACAACGGTGGATAATTAGTAAATCTGTTTTTTGATAGAATTCCAATAGCGTAGGCTAATTGCTGCAATTTGTAATTTGTTGCTAACTTTTTACTAAACTTCATTTCTTTCACATACATTGTACTTACGCATAAGAATTTTAACAATAAGAGTGACTGTGGCAGATCAGTTTGCTAGTGAGTTTTCTTTTTTGCTTGGTTTTTAACTACTTTCTCTTTTTATGTTGCAAAATTCATATAGTTAATTTACTTTATAGATACTATTTTTACTTCATTTTGCTCACCAGGAAGAAAAAAATTACTCTTAGAATTTCTCAAAAAACAACCACTTTGCTTATGTGTGTTTACGA